GAGGAGTGGCTGGTGGGTTTGAACTGCCAGCCTTCTGGTTAGCAGTCAAGTGCCTTAGGCACTATGCTACCAGAGCTCCTAGGAGACTTTAATACACCACTTTCAATGAAAGATAGAACACCTGGAAAAAAACTCAACAAAGATGCAGCTAAACAATACAAGCCACCAACTTGACCTTACAGACATCTACAGAGCACTTCACCCAACAAAAGCACAATATACATTCTTTTCCAGCGCACATGCAACATTTTCTGTAATAGACCATTTGTTAGGACATAAAGCAAGCCTTAATAAATTAAAAGACACTGAAATACTGTAAAGCATCTTCTCAGATCACAATGCTATCAAATTAGAAATCAACAATAGGAAGATCAACAGAAAAAGAGCAAACACATGGAAACTGAACACCCTCCTTAAGAAAGATTGGGTAAGAGAAGAAATAAAAAATGAAATTAAAAAATTCCAGAATGAGGTCACTGTTCTGACCTCATATCGTATTATTCTCTTTCTTATAACTTGCTCCAGCCATACGACTCTTGGTCTTTGCACCTGCTGTTCTCTCTGGCTGGTACACTCATCCCTCAGATGGCTATTTGGCTAATTCCATCATCTCCTGTCTCTGCCTAAATGACTACCTTCTCCATTAGTCCTATACTCATTTCCTTAATGAACATTGCAACCCCAAACACTATTGATCCTCCTTATTCTATTCTATTTCTTTTCTCCATAGCACAAGTCTGACACTTCACACTGTAACATACCACATGATTTATTTATGTATTAAGATAACACATAAATTTTGTCATCTTCCACTAGGATGTAAACTCCATGAGAGGAAAAATTTCTGTTTTATTCCCATTTTACCCAAAGTACCAGTAACAGTGACTGGTGCAAAGTAAGAATTCAATAAATTCATGTTGACTAAATGAATGGATAATGTCTAAGGTAAAGCACATCACAGAATAAAAAGCTTATTTACAAATACAAAATACACAGTAAGATGATCCACTGAGACCAAACTGAAAAAAAATAAAAATAAAACCCACTGTCACTGAGTCAATTAGATTCATTAGGGTAGAACTGCTACACAGAGTTTCCAAGGCTGTAAATCTTTACAGAAGCAAACTGCCTCATCTTTCTCCCACAGATCGGCTGGTGGGTTCGAACTACTGACCTGGTTAGCAGTCAAATGCTTTACCCCCTACTGCACCACCATTGTGATAAACATGCGGGAACAGAGACCAACTGAGGAAAGGAGATACCTCTCTTCCATTCATGCTCATTCAGGATCACAGGATTGAGAATAATAGTAGAACCGCTTGCACTGCTTATTACTTATTTTCATTTTGCTTGTGCTCACTAACACGCACTTTCTTCATTTGGGCAGGTACAGATGCATGAATGTACACAGACACACCCAGCATGCTCTCTCAACTGCCCTCTTGTACACTATTACTCCCATCTGGCAAAGTATCTATATTTTGAAATGGTGTCAGTTAAATAAACGTGAATGATCTCTAAGGAGCTCTGCCGGTGTAGTGTCTAAGGCATTTGACTGCTAACCAGAAGGCTGGTGGATCAAACCCATCAGCCACTCCTCAGAAGGAAGACTGGACAATCTACTTCCAAAGAGATACTGCCTCGGAAACCCAAGGAGGGGTCGCTATGAGTTGGGTTTGACTCGACGGCACATAACAACAACAACAACAACAATGTATTGCTCTAAAGGTATCATTATATAAATGCATTTTTGTTTAAAGACTAGGTCACTGACTATAAGTTTGTCAATAATAAGATTCAAACACTTACTTTTATCTGTGCCACACTACTTTTCATTTTCTGTTGCCAACTGACGCAATAAATCAAAATACTCCTCAAGTTGTGTGTGCCAAGGAACAAGTACGCAGTAGTCTGAATCTCTTGACAGCTTATTTCTTCTGTCTGCAATTGTCACCTATAAAATACACCAAAGAAAGCTTTGTTAATGCTGATAAAAATGTGTGTGAAATTGATGAAAAATTACTTCAACACAATGGACATTTTACCGTGTTATATTTCTTAACCAATAAGCAAAGATATAAGCAATAACTGAATACAAAAAAAATCAATAAAACCTTAAATAGTTCCACATAACAATGTATACCTAACACATAAATAAAAAAGAAACTATGAGCAACAGAGCAAATAGTAACAAGGGCTTATTAAACACCATAAAATATTTTACTCTAAAAACTGAGAAAAACAAGTCAATTTAAAAACACATGTTCAATACCTTTATTCAAAATGTTTCAGTGAAGTAGATCTGCATTATAAAATAGTCATATTTTAAAAAACAAACTACATAAAAGAAATTCTCTTTAACACATTCAATGCTTCCATATAAACTAAGCAAGAAATATCTACTATTACTACAATAATGAAAACTCAGATAAATACACAGTACATGGAAATATAAAGTACTAAACTAAAGTGCTATGACTCAAAGTGATCTAATAACATAAAGCTTCAGAGGTACACACAGGTGAGAATTAAGAATTCGTCTCATGGTAAATCTACTCATCAAAGTTAATGGCTAAAATAAAATTATTTTTCAATATCCACCTGTTAAGTGAATTTTACTAATTTTTGTAAAATTCGGAATCAATAGTTATATTTGCATAGAACTGCCATTCAAGTATTTTACTGGAATTACAAATCTAAATGGCTTATAGTATAAAGTGATGAAATCACAAAAATAAATGTAATAGAAAAATGTAAAAAATTAGAACATGTAGTGAATATAGAGAAAGACTTGTGCTCAGTACCAAAATAACTGAATAAAATTCAAAAAATAAGTTTTAATTTGAGTGCTGGAAAGGGCATTACAGATTATCTGGTCCAATTCTTTCCTTTTAAAAGATAAGAACACTGCAATCAAAACGTGCTGTATTGGCATATAAATAGACATATAGAACAAAAGAACAGAAATGAAACTCTATAAATAAGCCCACTCATATCTGGTCAATTAATTTTCAACAAGGATGCCAAATCCATTCAATGGGGAGTCAACTCGATTTCTACATGCAAGAGAGTAAGTGCAACTTCTACATCACACAAGACAAAAATAACTCAAAATCATCCATGAACTACATATAACAGCTAAATTCATCAGGGTCTTAGAAGAAACTAGAGAAATTTGTCAATGGGTATTTACGTGTCCTACAAAAAGCATAAATAACAGAAGAATACAAAAATAAGGTTACTTTGAAATTACACATTTTGTCCATCATCGTTTAGAAAGTGTTGAGTTGATGTTTTAATTAATGGAAAATTTGGCAATAGATACTGGTAATAGGTGAAAAAATGAGAACATTGAAGATCAGATAAATTATTTCAAAGATTTAAGTAATGATAGCAGTTAGTTGTGAACTTATAACTAGAAACCTAGTCTAATGATGCCCTTTAAGGATTTCTTTCACTAGACCATAGATTAGATATGTAACATACAAACGGCCTTGACAGATTATGAAGCAATGTAGAGCTCTTATAATTTTAATGCAGATAATTTACATAAGGGTCCCACCTGCAAACTGGTTCTTCTATTAGTTAATACATTACTTGTCTGTGGCTTGCAAGTTAGCCAAAACTTTTTTGTTTTTAATAGAAGAGTTGCTCTGACCCTAAACCCCAACAGCCATATCAAAGAACAAAGACCCTTATCATGTCAAAAACTATGGCATTTTTGTTTAAATTCAGTTTCACTGTTTGAACTCAGTTTCAGAGTGGCTCTTCCTGTTGGATGCTACAATTCAGATAAAGAATTCAGAATAAATTATGAAGAACAGTTCATAAAATCAGTCTCTGGTAGTAGGAGGAGAAAGAAGCAGCACACACCCCTACTTTAGTCCATCCTGATATAATGAACTACTACCCACTCACTGTCATCCAGTCAATTCAAACTCATAGAGCAGAACTCCCATAGGGCTTCCAAGGCTGTAAATCTTTACGAAAGCATACCGCACCAACTTTTTCCCGAAGAACGGCTGGTGGGTTCGAACTGCTGACCCTTTAGTAAGCAAGCAAATGCTTTAACGTACCATAATAAGCTTGTGTTACCAAAAGTCAAATTATACAATGAAGAATTATAGATTATGGTAAATAATAGATAATATAATCCCCATCCGAGAGTTTATCTGTGTCGCAATAGCCAAATGTGTGATGTCCAGAGTCTTAAAATTCTGCTGTGCAGCCACTGTGGTACCAAATGACTCAACACATGATCGTTCAATATAAAGAGCAAGGAAGTCTGGTACCAGAGATCAAAACTACTACCATCATAAACCTGATACACAATTATGATCAATGAACAACAGTGCAGATATGGACCGATCACAGTTCCAGAAGTTAATGTTCTACCTTTCAGCTCAGGCTGAATAACCAGTAGGGAGTACTCATAAAACTAAAAATGGCCCTGATGGGCAGCTGTGAGGGAAGAACTGACAACTGAAACAGAAACCAAAGCTTGTAAAATGAAGTTCACTAACTTGCAAAACCGATGAATTACGCCAGTCCAAATCATGGTACACACCATGGATTTTCTAAGCTCAAACTCTTATTTTCAATATGTTCAGCCAAAACGGTTCCAAAGATATGACCACTAACTGCTTCAGAAACTCCCTAGTTTTCAAATTCTCTCAATCCCTGCCAAGACCTTCCTGTGTCTCCCTCTAGTCTTGCAAACTCTGTAATAAATCTTTCCCCAATTCCCCTTTAATAAATCACATCCTGTGCTTTAATACATCCCTATTGTGTCCTTTCTCCCTTACTGCAGCAAGTTAATCAACTTACTTTGACTACTGGTATGTTATTGAGGGTCTTCTGTTGGTAGCTTTAATATACAAGACTAATGACATAGTTTCTCAACAATTCAATGGCATATGGGATTAAAAACAAAAGACGGGGATAGCTGCTGTTAAATAAAAGAAATTTAAGAGATGTAACAAATGTATGGGTCTTATTTAGATCCTGATTCGAAGAATTTGCTCAACTCTCAAAAGGAATTTGTTTACACAGTATAATCCCATGTTAACTTGAATTCAGCAGTAACTCAACCGACTAGTATTTTCTACCCAGTCTTCCTCCTAAAACAGAGGTGGGCTGAAGTCATTATCTATACGTAGGGCACAAAATAATGGAAGAGAACAATTTCTAACCCAATAAAGCTATGAAATTGCTGACCAGCAAATGGGAGGATGTCAATATATACAGGAGCTCTGCAACAAACTCACCATCTATAAAGATAAATTTTACAACCAATTAAAATGATGTTCCCCAGATATCCAGAGATTAACTACATTTTTTTGTTTTAGAAATGAGAAATGTGTAATTTAGAGTAAGCTAACAATCAAAACAATAATAAATAATGATAAATTATTATAGCCACAAAGACACTATGCTTGGTACTTCATTTATGTAGCTTTAGTCAAGCCTCATGATTATTCTGCTTTAGTGAATTTTTAGCCTTATTTTCCAAAGTGAGAACTGAGATGCAGGAGCTAAAGCAATCTGTCCAAGGTTACAAAGCTAGTCAATGGCAGAGCTAAAATTCAAAGCCAGATTTATCTGATGCTAAAACATCTGATACTGCACCTCAATGAAAATGCATTAATAAATTAATGCCAAACTAGTAAATTTTAAGAATTCCTAAAAGAACTCCTCATACCTAGAACTCATTGTGATGCGGCACAATATGAACAAATAAATCACCTCAGAGTAAGCATTTTCCTTTGCTTTTCCCCCTTTCCTTAAACCCATTTTCCCTTCTCTGCAACTTACACATTAAACATAAAACAAAAGCACAAATTACTATGTATTTGATTTCATTATGTTACTATTTAAACTTGTCCTCTTTCCACTTTCTATCCTTCAACCTTTATTTCCAAATAATTTTCCGATAATCAAGTACAAATGATTACATTTCTGTGTCCCAAAACGTGAATGTGAAACTGACGATATTGCAGATTGCTATTGTAGCTGTAGCAAAAAATGCATAAAGTACTATCTATCATCATCCAGATTTATACAGAATATGCCTGTAGGGAATTTCTGAGAGTTCAATATGTATATGCTTGATACTTAGACTAATTGGAAATTCTTGCAATGAGAGCAATTTATATCTAGAGTTTATAAATCTTGCTGCTGTTCTTAGCATCACTATGTAGATTTTATGATGAATTATTAAATTTCTTTTTCCTTGTCACAAGTAAGCAACTCAGCAAAACCACACCTGCTCTCCCAACCAAAAATGGTATTTTACAATGAAATGTTACAGCACTCATGGGAACACCAGTTTAAAAATAATGAAGATTTTCCAGTCTCAGTTTCCGCAAGCATCAGACAGCAAAATATTTAATAACATTTGTAAGGAACAGTTTAGATTGTTAACTGGAAGCAATGAAATTATATATGCTTACATTATCACAAAAATTTAGGAAATGAGAAAATATTCAACTACTGGCTGAAATGTATTACTTTCTAGATTATTTCATGAGTAGGACACTTCTATTGTTGCTGGAGGTAACCCACATTAGAGGAATTCAACAAAACATACTATTATAAAAATGTTAAAGAAAACAGGGAGTCAACTAAGTGGATTTTCTTTGGTTTGCTCTTTTACATTCTACATTGGAATAGTAGGCTTGGTGAATTTCAAATTATTATACCAAAAAACCAAACTCACTGCGATTGAGTCAATTCTTACTCACAGCTACCCCCCATTGGATTTCCAAGACTGTCAATCTTTTATTACAGCACACTGCCTCATCTTTGTTCTGCAGAGCAGCTGGTAGATTTGAACCAAGGACCTTTTTGATTAGCAGCCAAATGCCTTAATCACTGCACACCAAAGCTTCTTCAATAATACTACTTAAGAAATAAAACTAAAAAAATTCATTGTTCAATAGGGAAAATGGTAAT